GAGCAAGGACGCTACTAGGGACTCCTGGCCGTACTACTAGGAGCAAGAAGCTACTAGAAACATTTATCTGCTGTGTACATGTGTCCTCGGGATCGGAGTACAAAGAACCTTAGCGCGGACCCAGGTTGCCGTGGCCTTGACCCACACCGGCATTTCGTGGAACTCCACGTTGTCCCATTTGCTTGCTGAGTGATCTCAGGATGCAGTTCGGCAGCTATAGGAGGGTGCAGCATAGAGCGCAACAGACCTGCAAATTCAAACCTACTTAAGTGGCCAGGGCAACTAGGACCTTATGATGGTTTTGTAGTTTCTGAGTGTGCATCCAGGGTACGGGATGTTTGGCAAGGAGCCTGTAGTAGATCTCATGTTGAAGCTGTCATCCTTGCCTAAGCTGTCGGCGTTTACCTATGGGATGAGCGTATAAAAAACCTGCGCAGCATAATGTAATCTGCAATTACAACATGTAATCTGGCATGTAATCGGTACAAACAGCCAAAACGCTAGACTTGTCACAGCCGCTATCCCTGGACCTAGACGGTAGCGTGTCTTTCAGTACCAATACCTTTCACTCTCGTAGCATCTCCTTCAGCCCAAGGGCCCAAAGATGGTGCACTTAAGCTGGTTTCGAGGCTCTTCGGCTGTGGCTTGTGCACCGGCATGGCCACGCCTGCAACTGAATCTGCTGAATCTCTGTGCACAGCAAACATCACAGCACCACACAGCCTCGCTTTTTGAAATCTGTTGTGGCTATACCTTGTTGCTACCACATTGAGCCAAACAGCTGTCGGCGAGTTCTTGAGCTCTTTCTTGATGCTCATGCATGGCATACATTGCACTATGCAGCACATTCCACAATGGTTCAAAGCTCCTGTTTCACTCCTTGCGCCTGAAAACACTTCTGCTCGGCGAGGGTGCAGAACAGAAAAGTGCTTCACTTGTTTCAGTGAAGCGGTAGGGGAGAACGTGAATGTCAATGAGCCGTTGAGGCGGACAGTTTGTCATGCTTCATGAAACATGTAGCCTCGCACAACCACAAAGACTTCATAAAATCGGAGCCTTCCCTCCGGGAGAGGCAACAACCGAATCGATTTCATCGATCCTTCTATCCTAATGTGCGCACTGCTCAATCAGCGCCTGAGAACTGTTCATACTACCTCAATCGTCTCCGGAATCTTCGGGTCTTGCTGACGGTGAGGATGCCAGAGCCCGGACTCTGCCAGAAGGCCGGAGATAGCACGGAAATGCCCAGCAACAACGCTAGGAGCAAGGTGCCCAAGTCAGCCACCACCACGATCCATAATTTGATATCCATGGCCATGGCCTCAGCGTTTGCATGTTGGCAACGATGGAATGATAGACATAATATTATATTGCTATTATATATTTTATAAATATATAGATGGCAAGAAGCAATCAGTGCAGACACAGAAACTGGTAGAAACTACCATGATAGGTAGCACCATCCCGAAAAACAGCAATTGCATACAACCCACTATGCAACCCCAATCAACCACACAACAAAAGCAATTAGCCCAGCTGGAGACCCCAATAGCAAGATGCAAACCGGGACAAAAAGAAAATCTGGAAACAGCTGCTGTTTTCAACACATCGACCATCTCTTCCTTGGACACCATCATCACATAACCGGGACACCATCACAAAATGACCAGGGCACCATCAAAACATGACCGAGACACCGACACAACATGACTGGGACACAATCAAAGCATGATCGGGACACCATCAAAACATGACCGGGACACCGTCGCAACACGACCGGGACACCATCAAAACATGACTGGGACACCATCACAACATGACCGGGACACCATCACATGACCGGGACACCATCAAAACAGGACCGGGACACCATCACAACATGACTGGGTCACAATCAAAACATGATCGGGACACCATCAAAACATGACCGGGACACCGTCACAACACGACCGGGACACCATCAAAACATGACCGGGACACCATCACAACATGACCG